TGTCGGGACAAACTTTTTTTTTTCATTTTATAGCACATAAAATAAGCTTTAATTTTATATATGTTTAAAGAACGCAGTATTTCCGGAACATTTTCAAAAGTTCAGTTGAAAAAGATCTATGTTTTTTACAATATTTTAAGTTTTAACGCCCCCTATATAAGGGGAAATTGTCCAATTTTAATAAAAAGTATGTCAAATGAAAGATGTACTCATAATGTATTTAGAAAAAAAAAATTGTGCTGATACTTACATTTTTTGAAAAGTTATAGCATTTTTAAGTTGAAAATTTAAAATCAAAAATCGAAAATTTTAACACAAAAATTGTGTTTTTTTAACTACGGCAGCCGTTTACATGCAGAAGATAAAGTGTCGGGACAAACTTTTTTTTTTCATTTTATAGCACATAAAATAAGCTTTAATTTTATATATGTTGAAAGGACGCAGTATTTCCGGATCATTTTCAAAAATTAAGTTGAAAAAGTTAGTTTTTGTAAAAAAGTTGAAATTTTAAATCACCCCCCATGAGCAGGTTAAGTGTTAAATTTTCAAAAAAATGATATCAAATGAAAGAAAAATATCTAAGATTTTAATAAAAAAAAAATTTATGTTGATTTGTTGATTTTTGAAAAATTTATGGAAGTTTTAAGAAAAAAAAATGAAAATAATGACAAAATTTATCGATTTTTAAATTTGTAATTTTTTTGGAGATTTCCCCCATTTGCGGGGAACGAGGGAAAATTTTTCAATTTTTAAGGGTAACGTCTTCAATTAGATATGATTTGTGATCTTTTGACGTATTGTTAAAAGGAATCGGTACAGTGAGAGCTGAGAAAAAGTAGTGACAGACACAAAAAAAAAAAAATAAATAAACACATCATGGTAAAATTAATACCTTCTGAGCTTCGCATCGAAGCTAAAACAATCATAGATTTTGTGTAACAGTTTCGTATTATTTATAATTAAACGGGTTTTTTTTGTACGGTCATATTAGCTGTTTAAGCGTGTTAGACACAGTGTGAATTCAGAATTAACATTGGATTGTTTGAAATAATAGTTACATTATGTGAGATGCAAATTTAAATTTTTTCTTTCAAATCATAAACATTCTATTGTGTAATAAACCATTAAGATAAGTTATAAAGTTGTGTAGGATATTTAACATTATTTATTTAATATTGTTCAACCCCGAAATCAAATCACTATTTTTTCATACCGTTTGTGTTCATTTTTATTTGTTTAATCATTACCCACATGTACTTAAACTCCGTTTATTCACCTTTTTAAATCCCTCTTTACTCTTTACTTTATATTCTTTACTCCCTTTCATATTTTGCCATTTGTTAAACAAGTGTTATTCCACCATTTATTATCTTGTCTAATTTATTATTGTTCGGTTTTATATCTGCTACATTATGTTTTTATTCTAATTAAAAACCAGCCCATTAATTTTCTTTTGGTATATTATAAGCATTTACACCTTCATATAAGAATTTACACCATGTTACTTTATTTTTATTCTCTTTAAGTGTCATATACAATAATCACATACCTGTACATAACCATTCCATTTCATTTTTAAATTTCTCTTTTGCCTCTTATTTTATTTTATTTTTGGTTTATTACAACGCACACACGCTTAGGTTTAAAATTGATTGGTTATTTTATTTTTTTATTATTTATTAATATTATAAAGATTAATTACAACGAAAACCATGGAAAATATGACAAACGCACGCGTATTGAATTGGTTTCCTGTGCGCACCGTCTTGACTAGCTCTTAAACCAAACAACTTTTAAGGTATGATTTCTTTCAACACTTTGTCGGACATGTTGATATTGACTAAACGTATATCGATACCAGTCATCTTTTAACACTTGCATCCTTTTTGAATAATTGCAATTTGGCTTAGGTGACCATAATAACATATAAAATAATTTTACACCCCAATTATAATAATAGAAATAGAAATGTTTATATTAGTAATGGTATAAAAATATAAAAATTAAAGGCAAGAATATTATAAAATTATATATGAAACTATTATAGTTTTGGCCTTAGGCCATCAACAGGCTGCTTCTCTAACAACATTATTGGTCTCTATTTTCATTGTGTACTCTGTATAACTGTATCTATAATATGCGCGAATACTGACCAAGTTGTTAAGAGTTATAAGCAGGACTAAGATACGTGCACAAAATATGACTGTATAAGTAAATATTAATTAAATTATTAAAATAATATAAATATATTTTATTAATTAATTTCTATATATTTTATTTTTCAAATAAATTTATCGGTATAATGGCAAGTTTTAAAAGTTTTAACTTAAAAACATTTGAAATTTTTTTTTAATTTACTACGTGTACTTTTCTCTATTTGTGCAAACATTAGTTTATAAAAAACTAATTATAATAATAAATATTAAATGTCATTATTTTCTGAACAATATTTTTCTAGTTATTTACAATCAAACTATTTTCAACTACATTTTTTTTTTGGTGTTTAAAGTAATAAAAAAAAATAGTATCCCGATTATTTATATTATTCTTTTCAAGCATTCGACAATTTGGTTTAACAAGGTTAGTATTTTTTCTATATTAATTATAATTAAATATATTTTATAATTTTTTAAGATTTATTGATGGTTAACATTTTGTATATCTAATTTTAGCAAGTTTATGCATGAATTCAAAATATGATGTTTAATTATTAAGTAAAATTTTATTATCTTTTGATTCTTTAGTTTTAATGAAAATTTTGTTGATTTAAATTATTTCTCGACGGATTAATATCAGCTTTAGTTATTATCGCTTAATAGTTTCAGCATAGGCTTTCTTATACAGACGTGGGTGTATAACACCCTGATTAAAATAATTATGAGATAAATGTGTATTTTGGTGGGGATAATAAAACATTTCTAATGTATATCTCACCCTAAGACAAAACCCTGAGAACTTAAATTAACTGTAATCAAGTTGAAACAATAAATAACGCTATACTAAAAATATAAAAAAAGATATATAATGTATTATAAAATAAAAATGCATTCGTATCAATTTTTTAATTTATTATGTTGTTTGAAGATATTTTAGATGGATTGCAGTGTTAAAGTTGCTCAAATAACTTTTTATTTGGGATATTTCATAGGTAATATAAATTAATAAAAAAGATTTTTTTTTATGTGTATGATTATTTTACAATAATTTCAGTGATATATAATAATTTATAATACTATAGTACAAATAAATATTATAGTATCACAAAAAAAAAAATTATACCGAAATAACAACAAAGAGGATATAACAAAAATTATTATTAATTTATTATTTATAAAACACTGACATTATTTTAAAAATCACCATACAGAAAATTATTAAGCTATAACAATAGTAATTAATTTTATATAAACTAATATCAAATATATAATTAACAGTATTATTATAAGTATATATAGTATAGAAAGGCCCTTATATTATTAACTTAATGTATGAATATCTGTATCCACAAATATTATCGTCATTATGTAAAAGTTATTTGGGTAACATTTGGTTAGATAATTTACACCCTTCACGTACCAAACGGGGATTAAAAATTTGGTTAAAAGTGTAGTTTGTTAGATTTGAAACATTATTTAAAAAACTAATATACACGTAGTTAAAATGTATGGAATATAAATAATATATTTTAATATTTTCTTTAAAAAAGTGTTTACCAAAGTTCTGAAAAATAACCTTCACTTGCTCAAAAAGAACGAACATAATGTATTGGTATTTAAAAATGTTATCAACAATTGTTAGAAAACAAAAATGTGATCGACTTTTTATTATTGTCACCAGTTCATAAATAGAATAGCTTTTAGGTGTACTTCAATTATCTGCTGGTACTGTTAATGAGATATCCTTGGTAGTTTAGAAAGAACTAAAAAAGTTCAAGGCTTTCTTTATGACACAACTTGAGTCAATTAAATAGTGCTTATTTCATTACTCACATAGAAGAAAGAAGTAGGAGAGTGGACTGTATATGAAATTGAAGATGTTACACAAACTAGCAGGAATTAAAAGAATTACGAAACAAAGCTTATATATTAAAATAACAATAAATATAAAATATCATAGAATTGGGGATGGTTGGGTCACTTAATAACTACATGCCACAAAAGATAATATATTAAAAAACGAAATATTTAAAAAAAGACAATCAACAAATAATATATGTTATATACTTATCGTCTTGATGGCTGGCAGTTCACACAATGACAAAATGAATTGTAGTATTAAAATTGATAGACTGATCTTGTATGACACTAAATCAACCAATGTAGTGTGTCGAATCGTGCAGACAATTGTACACAATATACACAAGGGCATAGAATTATTAGGGCACATCAATAAAACACAGCGAATCACAAGGGTGGTGAATCAAGAAAAACGACTATGGACTAAGCTGCCCCATAGAACAATGTTGCAAGAGCTAACAATGGTGGCGAGATCAAACATGATATCACACAGTAAACGCGTGACTTTTATTCGCATTCGAATCACTACTGTAAAAAACAAGTACATACGTGGTTTAAATCGATGACGCCTCTCGTACAACCGGTGATGGTAGTGCAAGAGACATTGCGAGTCACAACAAAATACATAAAAGAAAAGCCCTCTTATTACAACAATTACTGAAGCAAAAATTATAAAGAAGTATACTGTTCTTAACATCTAGACATCATATTATTGAAATAATACTTCATGGAAAGAAATTTCATAACGATTTTCATAGCAATGATAATAAAGAATTTCTAAAGCTTTTATATTGGAGGAAATTGACGCAAGTTATAACTTATATCAGCCTGGAACCTTTCACTTGAAACATTGGATAGCAAAAGGTATTTATTCGTTCAATATTTTACTATTTAAATAATACTTTAACAATTTGGTTTTAATGTAAGAAAAAAATTTGTTGTTTCACTATTACATGTTATCCTCAAGTCTGGTTTACTGCGCTTAATTCAATTGAAACTACAGTTACTGACATAATTTAAATAAAACATTATTAGAAAAAAGATGCATTAAATCGCTATAAAAAAGTATAAACTACTAGATATTAATGGTATCTAAGCGATGAATGTGTTGTTTTACAATATTCAATACTCGAATGACCATAGAAAAAAAATCGTATTAAAAATTTTTAAATAGTACAATTTCATCATTTGAAAAAATATTTTCTTTACAAAATGAACTTCAATGAAAAATCGATGATTTGTCACATTTTTATCAATTGATTTGTTAAGCTCGTAAATGGACTGTAATCATAAAATATCATGAACAGAGGATGTTGCTCTACCTTGTGTAATTATATCAGATGTCGTATTAACCTAATTGCATGAGTCGCCTACGCTAGTTAAACAAGTAATACCTTATTCATGTAGCATAATCTGGAATATTGCGCGAATAGCCCTCAACATGTCGTGGTATCCGCAGAGTACTGACGGCAAATAACAGTAAGGCATTCGCCTTGCACGAGTGTCGTAGACATGTATCGACCACCGCGGAGCGACAACGCCATTACTTAATCATTTATTTCCACTTACGTGAATTATGCACATGGCAGCTGTGTGCAAGAGGATTCATGCAGTTATTTTTTATTTAAAATTGCTCTAAATGTTTATCGTATTGACTCTCAATAAATACTATTGTGTTATCTATAAACTTGTCTATTGCGGACAAATTTATTCTATGCAACAAAAAACAAACTTACTTATTTTATGAATAATTAAAACAAATAAACAATGACTGTTTTAACTTAATAATGACAAGAATCAAAAAATATACAGGGTGTTCAGTAAGTCAGGAAACGGGTTTCTATTGTTCTCATTGTTTGTAACAATGAGAACAATAGAAACCCGTTTCCTGACTTACTGAACATTCTGTATATATACTTAAATTAAAAGATACGTTCTTAATCTCAGATATTATCCTTGTGAATGAGGGTCGTTAAAAAAAACTGCCGCACACCCTCATGCACCGCTCTGCCCAGCAGGTAGCACCTGCTATATTGAAAACACAAAAAACAATGGTAATATGGGCATGTCTCACATAACGAACACCATCTATGAATGCAATTTTGTACAAGTAAAAAATTTAATTGACATTTGAAACACATACAAGATTGTGGTCTTTGGCATATAGAACATAAATCAGAAATAAAACAATTTTTCACTTTTTTGGCACATAGAACGTTTGACACATTCACTCTTCAATTATAGTTAATTGATTCAGTTATACTTAATTTAAACATTTCGATACATCAATACAAACACGGGCGTTCTTATTAAGGTGACTGACGCAATATAACCATTAACGAAGTAAATTAATATACAGTGAAGATGTATTTTGGATGGGTTATAAAAAATTTCTTATACTTTTTCTTCTGAAAACGCCATATAACATAGTTAATCTAACTAAAATTTTATAAGAAATGCATTCAGCTCTTATTATGAAAATGTTTTTTATATACGAACCTGAAAAATAATAACACTTAATTAAAAAATTTATATTTATTTAGTTTTGGTCATGTCGTCAAATAATGTTAATGAAGCAGAAGAAAATTTTATTGGTAAGCTTTGAATCATTTTATTTTAAAAGGGGTTTCGACCTACATGAAAATTTTGTTTTGAAATAATTATTTGATTGTAACGAATTTGTTCGAAAAATAATTGAATGATGTTCTTATAAGATGGACTACATTAACTTAGTCAAAAATTCATTTTGCTTCAGTTCGTAGGTAACGTCATTTAATTACATTGCGCTGAGCTACGTAAGTTTTCCTGTCCTCTCTACCCCGACCATTATTTTTCAAAGAGGATGTTCGCAGCATACATAAGAATGAACGTAGCGCGATTACCATACCAATTTCTAATCACTTTTTTAACTTCTCCCGATTTTTGGACTTATCCAATCAGCCTTTCCAATGCCATAAGACATAATAATGGTTTATACAATTTACTAAGAAAAGTGGTAAAAATATTATATTTAGTTTAATAGAAAAATGTTATATTGCTTGTTATGAAATGCATAATGGAAAAATTTATACCTTGGTCATTGCCAACAACTATATATTCTAGTCATTTTGTAATCAAGAGTTCCTATTATTAACGGACCTATAATACATATTAATTTTCTATAATGTTATGAAAATTTTAGTTACCTGCATGTATTAATAATTACATTATGTTAATTTAGTTAGTTTTGTCACGCAGATAACGCATATTATTTTATTATCATACGGTTTATTTAAATCAATAATTATTACACAGTCACACTGAAGATTTCTTTTTATTTAATTGTAGCACATGGCTGTTATAAAGCAATATTTTTTACGATCACGCGTATGACAATAGTTAATTATTAAAATAAAATTATCACGGATAATTTTTAGTGTGTAATAGTTATACATTTTATACTTTTTGTATTTATATGAAATTAATGGTATTTATATTCATTATTATTGGTTAATCTTTTTGTATCACAAGGATGATCCATTTATAATATTTATCATTTTATATTGAATTAACAAGTAATTATCAATATCAAGTGATATATATATGTGGGTACCATTGGTATCTAGATGGCACCACTTCCAGGGTCTGGAGATAGATAGTGGTATCAAGTATATAGAGGAAGATTAAGTCAAGTCGTGAGTCGGCTAAGACGTGTCTCTATGTATATTTTTTAGTATATATGTGCATTCTGTTTTATATAATATTTTTGTGTTGTGTGAATATTTTTATAGAGTTTTCGTGTGTAATTAAATATATGTGTTATTTTTGCTTGTTAACATTTAATAGAGTTTTTTTGTGTATTAATTCATATATATATAAATTATATAATAGTATTGCGTCTTCGCTCTGTTCCTGTAATTGCCTATTTGCATTTCCCACATATATATATAAAGTGATATATAATAATTTGAAAACAATTCAATATAACAATTATATAATAGATAATTTTATATTATATTTTTGAATCTAAGAATTACTAATCTCTTGTAATTATCCACCAATTTCTTAAAATTAAACATTATCTACAGATTTGCATTAAAGCGTTTCTCATGATAGTGATTTTAATCACTGTCAGATTAAATCTATAATGGACCCAGCTATGCCACGTCTCCACTGTGCCCGGATCCCACTGTGCTGGGATTTTTTAAATTTATAATAAATTTACAATTAAAAATTGTGAAAATAAATTCAAAAGAAAATTATCTGTTGTTAATATTTTTAACATAACATCATCTGTCAAAACAATACTATGTAATTCTTTATTTATATTCAACCAGCTATTAGAAAATCTTTTGAATAGAACTATGTCTGGACCATTTGATGCAGGCATTAATTTATCAAACAATTTACTTATGATTATCTCATGTATGTGGTGCATACAAGTAAAACTCAATAGTTGTTTATCTAGTTGTTTTTTTATTAAAGTACTTGCACCATTAAGTCTACCAGTGTTAGAAGCTGTAGTATCAAAACACATCATATTTATGCATTCAATCAAGTTCCAATCAACTAATAGTTTAATAACAGACTTTGCTTGAGATTGAAAGTAAAATTCAATAACTTTGGCACTCCCAAAAGTTTATTATTACCATTACCAGAAACTAATACCACTAAACGCTCAACGCAATATTTTTTGTTTTCTGACGGCAATATTTTTCTATCCCAGTGAATCATTAAAGAATTATCTGGTTGAAAAGATTTTACTATTTCATAGGTAATAATTTTCCTATTGGAAATACGAGCTCTCCGTATTGAATCTTTACTTATAGAAAAATGATTAATATTTTTATCAGTAGAAGTTAAAGCAGCCACCAAAATATACATGANAATATTTTTATCAGTAGAAGTTAAAGCAGCCGCCAAAATATACATGACATTACGGTTATAAAAGTTCGTTCTATCTAATGTTGACGTCACTTGTGTTGTCAAAATATTACAACGCGTTTTACTTGTATTTGGCCGATTGAGATGACATTCAAAATCTGAACAACTAGTATCTTGTAAACTATCAATGATGATAATTATGATATCCACGCTATCAATTTTCGACTTAAAATTTTGTATTTTAAAGTTATAATCAAACTGTTTTGATATACTAATCATAATATTTGATCAAAAATTGAATAACAGAGGCCATTATTTGTTTTTTGGAGTATGTTTGGTCAAAATATTAAAAATACCTTGAGCCACCAGTAAAAATTTTTTTTAAAATTTCAAATTTTCACAAAATACCCATTTTAATGTATAAAATAAATTTTATTATAATTTAAAATGGTTTTCACTAAAATTTCGTAGATTGACTTTTTTTGATCAACCCTAATATATATATATATAAATGTTAGTATTTCCGGAGCACTTTCAAAAGTTAAGTTGAAAAANTTGAAAAGATTTTACTATTTCATAGGTAATAATTTTCCTATTGGAAATACGAGCTCTCCGTATTGAATCTTTACTTATAGAAAAATGATTAATATTTTTATCAGTAGAAGTTAAAGCAGCCACCAAAATATACATGACATTACGGTTATAAAAGTTCGTTCTATCTAATGTTGACGTCACTTGTGTTGTCAAAATATTACAACGCGTTTTACTTGTAGTTGGCCGATTGAGATGACATTCAAAATCTGAACAACTAGTATCTTGTAAACTATCAATGATGATAATTATGATATCCACGCTATCAATTTTCGACTTAAAATTTTGTATTTTAAAGTTATAATCAAACTGTTTTGATATACTAATCATAATATTTGATCAAAAATTGAATAACAGAGGCCATTATTTGTTTTTTGGAGTATGTTTGGTCAAAATATTAAAAATACCTTGAGCCACCAGTAAAAATTTTTTTTAAAATTTCAAATTTTCACAAAATACCCATTTTAATGTATAAAATAAATTTTATTATAATTTAAAATGGTTTTCACTAAAATTTCGTAGATTGACTTTTTTTTATCAACCCTAATATATATATATATAAATGTTAGTATTTCCGGAGCACTTTCAAAAGTTAAGTTGAAACAGTTAATTTTTTGTGGAAAATTTGTCATTTTAAATCACGTAAAGTAAAGGGTCAGATTTATAAAAAAATATTATATTGATTTGTTCATTTTTGAAAAAGTTATGGCAGTTTTAAGTAAAAACGTTGAAAAAATTAGCAATTTTTTAATTTGTAAATTTTTTATAGATTTTCCCTATTTACGGGTAATGAGTGAAAATTTTCAATTTTTTAGAGTAATTTCTTCGATTAGATAGCTAAAAAAATGTGGATATTAATAAAAAGGATTTTATTATTATTTAGATCATATCCAAAACTCTAATTCAAGATTTGAAATCGGTGCAAAAATGTGTTTAGAAAAGTATATTTTGGTCTCGGATGAATATTCCTTATAGATCAGTAAATTTATTTATAAATAACAAACAATTTTTTTTTTAAGTATTGCACAAGATCTTTAATTTTTATTATCGTTTGCCATTAAAGTAATAACTACTTTATAATTTTTTATAATATCTCCGTAAAAATTACAATTCTAAATTATTAAAAATCAATTTCATACTATATTTAATTGTTATAATAAATATTTATTCATATAGTACACTTATAAATCATAAAACTTGTAATTAGGATATTAATAAGGAAATAGGAAATCATATTTTTTTTTGGAAGAATCCACCAATTTTTTAAATAAAACACTATCTACAGATTTGCATGAAGCATTTTTTATGATTGTGATTTTAGTCACTGTGAGGTTAAATCTTTACTGGACCCAACTATGTTGAACAGAAAGTTATCTTATTATATAATAGAACAAGGAAAAGAATGTTTTTCAGGAAAAATTACTTGGCGAGCTCAGATTTTCAAAATTTTTTTTTCAGCTAAAATACTCGGTCACGAGATTCCGGCAAAATTATTGGCGGAGGTCAGAAAATTTTTGGTGCTCGTCCGCAATTTTTTAAAAATTTTGACCGTTTTCGAGAAAAACAAAAATGTACTTTTCTAAATTAACTTTTCTCGATGTTGTCAAATATGCAATTAAACTTTTTCTATCACTTCTAAGTTTTTATATTATTACTTATAATAAAAAAATAAGTATTTACATATAAAAAAAAAATAATTAAAAACAAAAAAAATTGTTTTAAATTAATACTGATTTTGATTATAAATATGTTAAAAATAAGGAAAATGATATATTTAACCTATTTTTTGATTCCTTTAAAGTTAATTTTTGTAAAAGTTTATAGCAAAAAAATTTAAATAATTACCATAAATTTTAGCATAATTTGCAAGTTTGAAATTGACATCATTAAATAGGAAATTTTATGAGAATTAAAAAAATTGTATTGTTAAGATTAATGTGCAATCATGAAATTTTATAATAACAATTTATAGTAAATCTATCAAAAAAGCTCAATATTTTTTCGCATATTTATTGGAACAGATAATTTAAAATTTAAATTTTAAATAGAAATAATAGTAACCATTTCCTAATTGTTTAAAAATATTCTACAATTGAAATATTCAGAGGTTCAGTAATTTTAATGATTTACTTTAACTAAAAAAACCCAGCACAGTGGGGTCAAGGCATAGTGGAGACGTTGCATAGTTGGGTCCAGTGTATATTTAATCTGACAGTGACTAAAATCACTATCATAAGAAACGCTTCGATGCAAATCTGTAGATAGTGTTTAATTCTAATAAAATTGATAGATAATTACAAAATCAAAATCAATTTCTATTTCCTTAATTATACCCAGATTAGTAATTCTTTTAATTATATATTATATAATTTTTAAAATTAATTGTTTTCATATTATTATTGATTTTGATTTTTAATATGTTAAAAGTAATCATTTTAAACCTACTTTTTATTGTCCTATAAAGTGAAAGTTTTAATAAAAAAAAAAATGAATTTATAACTATAACTTTTAGCTCAACTTGCAAGTTTGAAATTGACATTATTAAATAGAAAAATAAGAAAGTGTTAAGATTAACATGCAATTAGAGAATTTTACAATTACTATTTACAGTACATTTAAAAAAAAGTTGTTTAAAAGATTTACTCAATTGAGCGTATTATAAAATTTGATTATAATTGTAAAAATTTATCGTTAAATTCGAAACAACGATATGTTGATAAGTGAAAGTTTTAATAAAAAAAAAATGAATTTGTTACCATAACTTTTAGCTCAACTTGCAAGTTTGAGATTGACATTATTAAATAGAAAAAAATGAAATTGTTAAGATTAACATGCAATTAGGAAATTTTATATTTACTATTTACAGTACATTTATCAGAAAAGCTCAATATTTTTTTTGCATTTTTATCGTAATAGATAACTAAATAGAAATAATAGTAATCATTTCTAATTAACTTTTGGTGTGTAAAAAAATTCTACAATGGAAATATTTAGAATTTAATTAATTTTGATTTACTTTAACCAAAAGAACCAATAAAAAAAAGTTGTTAAAAAGATATACTCAATTGAGCGTATTATAATATTTAATTATAATTGTAATAATCCATCGGTAAATTCAGGTGAAACTAAAAATCATTTTTTTTTTTTAATTTATGATTTATACAGCAACATGTTACAAAAAAAAATTGGAATATTAGAGACTAGTAGTAGCACTCACAAATAAAGTTAAAAAATTAATAAATTACAAAGTAAAATTATTTATTTTTGTAGTTGAAAACTGTTATCATATCAAATCTAATTCAACAATGAATACTTTAAGAATATTAGAAATTAATGATTTTAATTGTTTGTATGGAAAACGCTGGTTAAGCTACTTTTAATTTGAAAAAGGAATATTTTTTCGATCTTTAAGAGTAATAACTTAAACTAATTACGAATTATAATCATTTGACGTATCGTTGAAATAGTAGGTCTAGTGAGGGTTGGCAAAATAAATCGTAGCCACAAAAAAAACCACATAGTAAAATAATATTAACATGAATAAAAATTTCTTCTCACGAGGGGAGACTATAGTGATAAGTTCCTTTATATTCATTGAAGTTATTGAATCTAAATGAGATAAATATCAAATGATTTGAAAATTTTATTCTAACTCAAAAAAAAATGCAAAATATTAATTGCCACAGTCGAATTTGAACCTCGTACCCTACGCGTGAAAGACACAAGTGTTACCGATTCGGCAACTGTTCGTTGCCTTCATCGCTTAATAAAATTGGCTATTTAAGCTAACTCAAATTTAAAAATTACTCTTTCGACTTTAAAAAAGTAAAAAAGTTTAATAAGTTTAATAACTTATCTTATGAACTTTATTCTATGTCAATTAAATTATATAATATTCATGAAAGTCAATATATTCTCCTAATAAGATATTTTAAAATAAAATAAAATACAAAACCTAGAATTTTAATAGAAAAATAGCATATTTTTGAATACGGTAGCCATTTGCGCATAGAAAATAGGTCGTCGGGACAAATTTTTTTTTTTAATTTTATAGTACATAAAATAAGCTTTAATTTGATATATGTTTAAAGGACGCAGTATTTCCGGAATATTTTCAAAAGTTCAGTTGAAAAAGTTCTATTTTTTATACAATGTTTCAAGTTTTGAACGCCCCTTATATAAGGGGAAATTGTCTAATTTTAATAAAAAGTATGTCAAATAAAAGATGTACTTATAATATACTTAAAAAAAAAAAATTTGTGCTGATACATACATTTTTTGAAAAGTTATAGCATTTTTAAGTTGAAAATTTAAAATCAAAAATCGAAAATTTTAACACAAAAATAGTGTTTTTTTAACTACGGCAGTCGTTTACATGCAGAAGATAAAGTGTCGGGACAAACTTTTTTTTTCATTTTATAGCACATAAAATAAGCTTTAATTTTATATATGTTGAAAGGACGCAGTATATCCGGATCATTTTCAAAAATTAAGTTGAAAAAGTTAGTGTTTGTAAAAAAGTTGCTATTTTAAATCCCCCCCAGTGAGCAGGATAAGAGTTAATTTTTAAAAAAAATGATATCAAATGAAAGGAAAATATCTAAGGTTTTAGTATAAAAAAAAAATATGTTGATTTGTTTATTTTTGAAAAAGTTATGGAAGTTTTAAGAAAAAAAGTGAAAAAAATGACAAAATTTACCGATTTTTAAATTTGTAATTTTTTTGGAGATTTCCCCCATTTGCGGGGAACGAGGGAAAATTTTTCAATTTTTAAGGGTAACGTCTTCAACTAGATATGATTTGTGATCTTTTGACGTATTGTTAAAAGGAATCGGTACAGTGAGAGCTGAGAAAAAGTAGTGACAGACACAAAAAAAAATAAATAAATAAACACATCATGGTAAAATTAATACCTTCTCAGCTACGCATCGAAGATAAAATTATTAAAATATATATCTACTACTTTGTTCTAAATCTTACCAAATAATTATCGATAAAACACAAGCACGTAGGAACTCTACAGGCATTACACATTGGTATTGTACTTGTTTCCTGCCAAACTCTAATTCGACTTTTTTGTAACATCCAGCACAATTTTTAGGAGAAGAACTATCTTTTTGAAAATATGATTGTCAGAAATTTGCGATATTAGAGATTCGGATTTGTTGATTAAATTAATTCTAATTAGTTTCTTGAATTCTGTAATTTTCATTTTGTTGTCGCTGACTTTTGAAAATATGATAAGGCATTGGTAACACAAGTGCCTAGCAAAATATCAAAAACGACTTTTCGGCATCATTTTAAACTTCTTCTAAAAGGTGAAAAATGTGAAGTAATTTGGTCACTTCGGTCGGTAAAACTCTTTCCCTGATTATATTCAATAACCATATCATGTTTGGTATTGGTTTTATTTCTCTTAGTGATTGCTGTGGATGTATCACCATTTTTTGTACTTAGCATTAAGAGATCCCTCTTATTTTTCCATTTGAGTAAAAAAATATTAGTATTACTCTGTTTTGCAATAATTTGGCCTTTTTTAAGCTTTTTGTTATTGACATCTTTAGGATTGCCTTTTCTATTTGCACGTAGAGTGCCAACAATATATATTTGTTTTTCATTTAATTCGTGAGCTAAGGAGACACTTGTATACCAATTATCTACAAAAAGAATTTGCCCAACATTTAAATAGGGCTCCATAAGGTCTAACACAAATTAATTAGATACAGCAGTGTCTGCAACCATTTCATTACCAGCATAAACTTTATTTTGGCACCTGTAAAAATCACATAAACACAACTTGAATATTTTGATTCCATATTTATGTCTTTAATTTTTCAAATATTGTCTAAATTTAATTCTTCCTTGAACTGGAACAACTGATTCATCAATACATACACATTTTTTAGCTATATAACATGAATTGAATGTAGGTACAAGTAAATCAATTAGGCCTTGAATTTTGTACAACCTATTATCGTTACTTTTATTTGTATTATTGCCACAATGAAAAACATTTAAGCTAAGCTCAAATCTAATATGAGGCATGACTTTACTCAAATTATTAGCATAAAGAAAATCTTACCTCCAATAATGTGCTAATGATGGTAAACTATTTAGCGCAATCCATAATATAAGTCCAAGAAAATTTCTCATTTCTGTTTGATCGATATTATACCACTTCGAAATTCGAGAAAATCTAGATGTAATATTATCTAATTTTTATTGAACATATCGATTTCTTTCAATAACTAAAAAGTCAAGAACAGTGTTATCTACAAATGAACTAAAAAATCATAAGGTCTACTTACACTCATGGAATCAATGATATCAGGATTTATACCTACAAAATTGTTATCTGGTTTTATGGAATGTTATTTAAATTCCCAGTTACTGATTTGAATCTAAAGCCAAATTATGTTGTATACTATTACTTTGATTATTACTTTCCTTTTCACTGTACGGTTCAACACTATCTTCGTCACTCGTTTGCTCATTTTGTTCACCAAAGTCGTCGATATTCTGATTTAGTACATTAGTTTTTTCAAAATCTTGATCATTGAAAAGGTCATCGTCATCGCTCTCAATTTTTTTTTCATCCGAATATTCGTTTAAAAATTGTATTATGTCCATCATTAATTACATTATTTATGAGAAACTATATTTTATATACTATCTAAATATTAATGATAACATACTCTTTTGATAATAATTGTTATGATAAAAATCAGCTGATGTGAAACTGTTGTACTAAATATTGTTTTAATTATAATTTATTCGAATAAAAATAAAATATGCAAAGAATAAAAATAAATATATAATAAGTAATTGTAAGCAAATTTTTATTTAATGAATCACTAGCAATAAATGTAAATACTCATTGAAGCATTTTGATAAACTGATAACAGAGAATCAGATGATGAGCATTGACTCATTTCTGCAAATATGTTTTAATTTGTTTAAAAAAACCTTTAATTTGTAAAACATCAATTTTTATGACTATTTGATTTTCTATTAAATTCATAATTAATATATGTTATTGTTGTCATACATTAATTTTTTTAGTTTATTAACTATCTTTTTTTTAGATATTATGTTTGTTATTTTTATATATTATATTTAGTATATTAATCATACTTTTATTAAGATACTGACATGACTTCTGTAGCAATAATGTAATAATCACATCCGAGACCCTCGCATGTGGTTAGCGACCCGACTTCCTTATTGTAAGGGAGCCATGAGGGTGGTGACTATACAATCCGTTGCGTGGCCCAAGTCGTCAATCAAATAATTTCCTATATCCATAGATGTCATAAATTTTGAGCAATCATTTGTCCTATTGTCTATTAATTCCTCTTCCTTTCTAATTGCTGCTGTGTATTTATCTCCTCATTCTCCCTCTTCAGTTGTTGATGCTCATATTGTTTCCATTGAACAAATTTTCTTAAAGTACAAGCCACAGTTAGTTCTATTGTGTGATGCCTATAACATACTAAAAAACATTCTTAGATAAATAACAAATAATTAAATTAATATATAAACAAATAACAATAATTATGGTAACTACATTTAGCAACAAAATATTAGCTGCAAGACACTTAAGCAATGAACATATATTATAATAGATAACAAATAATAATTAATACATAACATACATAAAGACAACAAAAAAAATTATATCACGATATTTAGACTAGATATTATTATTTTTTCAAATTATAATTTTTTTTGACATAATTTACTGAACATACATATTTGATTGTGACCATTTTTTTCGCTCTTGTAACTGACTGAGATATTCGTTCCTCCATCGAATTCATATTTTTGCATAATTTGAATAACACGCCTCCAGCGAGTTAGTCTGTTCTCCACAACATTTATTACGTCATGTTCGCGGATAGCGAGTCACCTATTAAAAAATGACCAGGTGTTAAAACCGATAAGTCACTTGGATCCGTGGATAAAGTTGTCAACGGTCGCGAATTTAATATGGCTTCTACTCGAACAAGTATTGTATATAATTCTTCATAATTAAACGGAGCTTACCATTCAATTTGAGCAAATGTGCCATAACAGATTTAACAGACGCCTTCCACAATCCGTCAAAGTGAGGACTACAGACCGGAATGAAATGTCATTGAATTCCTTTATTACTTAATTCGTTTTTAACTTCAGGATTAGCTAAAATTTCATACCGTTCTCGAAATTGTCGATTAACTGCAACAAAAATTTTTCCGTTATCTGAATACACGTCCGTATAATAACCACGTCTATCATAGAATCTACATAATGCATTACGTAAAAACTCCGCTGTCAAATCGCCTACTAATTCTATATGAATAGCCTTTGTGACAAGACAAACCCAAATATTGATGTACGCCTTTGTCTTAGGCGCATTTTTTCGCAAACTAGACCGTACGAATACTGACCAGCAAAATCTACGCTACATTTAATAAAGGCTCGCGCTGGTTTGACTCTATCCTTAGGTAATGATAGGCTCAAAAATAACAGGTTTGTACTTGAAACATCTGACATATATTTGAAATATATTTCTGGCTATATTACGTCCATTAATCGGCCAATATTTCAAACGTATATTAGCTAACATCTTTTGTGGACAGTCGTGTAGTGATTTTTCGTGTCAATCCCAAAATAATAATTTTGTAAAAACACATCAGCGGGTAACACTATCTGATGTTTTTGAAAAAATTACCGTGAGACGGCATGTTTCAATCTACCGGCTACCCTGATTATACCATCGTTATCTAAAAATGGTTTAAGACGAAAATGTTTACTTCTATTGGACACTAATTTTGCGTTTTTTAAGTTACATAACTCAGTAAAAAATTCATATTATTGCGCTACCTTAACTAAGCGTTTACGGGCATTTTCAATATCTGTAGCTTCAATAGGACCATAAATATTAGTGTCAATCGATAGAAAATTAGACTTCATACGAAAACAGTAAACCACAACACGTAAAAGTTTACTCAGTTATCTCAGTAAGTTCTTCTATTTCGGCTTGAACTGATTCGTAATCTTGCCAGACCTCCAATATCCTATCTCGCCGTAGAATCATTTGACTAGGATCAATGTTTTCTTCTTCAATTTTTCTGCCAACAAATAATACAAATAGAGATAGTTTGCCTTTGAACTGACCGCAACAAATATTCAGCTGTACTTGATCTGCCCTAACTGTTGATATCTATTCAGATCGTCAATTTTATAACTAGATTACAATAACGCTCTATTGATCACTTGTCTAAATTTTGGACTATATTTTGTCTTCACAGTAAAAATGGCTACCAAATGCTATTTTTGAATGAAAATTCTCGATTTTGTATTTTACATTTTTAACTTTATTATGCTATAACTTTTTGAAAAATGTATGAATCAACACAATTTTTTTCATGAGAAGTAGTATTTATCTACATCTTTCATTCGACATACTTTATCTTAATCAGGATATAAATAAGGAAATAGCAGATCATGTAGATTTAGGAATAATCCGTAAATTTTTTAAAATTCAACACTATCTAAAGATATGCATTGAAACGTTTTTTATACTTATGTACAAATTTTGCTGTTATACTATAAAAAAAAAAAAAATTAAAAACATTTTAATTAATTGTTTTGTATATTCGTTACAAGTAAAAAATAGAACAAAAATAATTATTACAAATAAAATTTTATTATACATAATATTATTGGTAATTTTTTACTGTTTTGTTTTATTACTTATAACCAGAGCTTGAGACTTATAGCATTTGCTAGAAAATGCTTTTTTTTGCTATTTTTCATGATTTTTTCAAAAAACGTTTAATTTCAGTTTTTTTTGCTTTTTTCGATGATACAATAAAAAACAAATGCTTGTTTCTTGTTTTTTCTGTTTTTGTACATTAAAATATTTTCTTTATAACGCAGCCTACCCAGGTTTTTTTTATAGGTTTTTCATAGATCTAATAAGGAAAATAATTCAATTGTCTTCCTTGTTTGTAGGATTTTGTCTTTGTTATCTTATCTATTTGATAGCCAACGCCGTCCTCGGCATCGTTATCTTCTTTAGCTATGGTTGAAGTGTCATACTAGTATGGTACTTGGTTGATTTCCTTTTTATATTTTTCGGTTAACAATATTTTTAGATAGTTTAACAGAATAGAATAAGATATTCCTTAAAATTACTTTAGAGATTATATATTATTGTATTGATGAAATGATTAACTCGATAGATTTAAAATTATTTAAACATATTTTTTTTTTTAGATGACTTACCTAGCGACGAAATTTGTTCAATTTGTCAACAAAAATATGAAGAAACACCTGTTTTTTTCAACGTGTGTAAACATAAATTCTGTAACTACTGTGCAAATAAAATTACTTATTTTCAAAAGATTCCTTATAAATGTCCTGTATGTCGAAATCAAAATTTAAATTTTATTGATATAAGTAAGTACCAGTCCATATATATTAAGAAATTTGTAGGATCAAGAATCTGATCATAGTTATCATACTTTAAAATTACGAACAATTTTATTGCTAAGCTATAATTATTTTGATATAAATAGTTATTTACTCAATAATTATAAATAAAATTTATATTGTAAATTTGAATGATAAAGTAAAATTTATAATTCTGTGGAGTATTAGAATATTTAAAATGGTAACTACTAGTTTTAGCACTAGGTCATCATCTGATTACATTTCAAAATCACTAAAAATTAATTAATTAAATAAAACATGAAACTATTAGATCAAATTGACCAACAACTCACATTTACTCAAGGTAAAAAAATATTAAATTAAAAGTATAACAATTTTTCATAATTTCTTAAAAAAAGATGAATTATACAATTTTATTATTTTTTTTTTATAAATACCTCAGGTATTTTCTTTTCTTTTAGTAGTGTCGTACGTCAGTAGTACGCCGACATAGCCATAAAAGTAGTACACAAATTAATTAATATCATAAAAATAATCATAAAACTTGTAATGAGGATATAAATAATGAATAAGGAGTTCATATTGCTTTTGGAATAATTCAATAATTCCTTCTAAAAGTAAACACTATTGATAAGATCACAATTTTGAGCTCATATCCCATTTCCACAACCTCATTGTACCACCAACTAGACTTATAACTGTTATGAATACTTAACTTAGTTTTATTATTGTTCTAAAATTATAATAACAGATAATCATAAATTGAATTGTAATCGAGGTCGGCCTATAAGAATGTGTTTATAAGGTATTTTTCGGTGTTGCAAAACCGGAAAGTGGGCCAACTGCGACTAATGTAATTCAGAACATCGTTAGTCATTTGACAACTATTGTGCGATTACTATTACTTTTTTTTAATAAACTAATTAATTATTCGGCAATACTATTTTATTTTATTCTATTTGTTACTCTCGTAACATAACATTGGCACAGTGAAATATGTACATTTTTGAGAATCACGACCACCGTGCCATAATACGAGTGTCCCAAACGTTACGTGACTTTTTACCATCATCGCGACTATTACTCTTATTGGCTAAGACATTAACTTTAATTAGCTACCACAGGTATAGTGTATGTCACCGTCAGCTACTCAACCTGCTGGATTAATGTTATCTTTAGGTGTCCAGCAGATTATATTTTTATTTACTCAGCTCTCTTAATAAACTATTATACAATTGCATGATCAGGAGTGCTATATATTATTGTAGTGCGACCTTTGGTAGTTCCTCTAAGGGTATAAAAATTAAATAGGAAACCTCAGTATCTAAGATAGATATAGCCAGCTAGCTCTTCCGCGTTGATTCCTTAGGATACTGTTAACAGGCAATTAAGCTCAATCCCTAAATAGCCACATAACTAAATATAGATTTAGATCGAAGATTTTTTTATGATAGTGATTTTAATCACTGTCAGATATTATCTATACTTATCCCCAATGTGCCATGACCTCACTGTGCTGGGTTTATTATTTTGATAATAAACAAAAAAAATAATTAATGTTCAATGAACAAAGAGTTTAAGGTAACCCTAAATCAAAAATGTAAATGTAATGTCATAATTTGATATTCTGTTCTGAGTATCACAATTTCTAAAGTGGATCTGCTTATTATTTAAAAATAAAATTATAATACATTTATTATTTAAGAACCAGACACTAGAAACTTATGTTATATTTGTGAAAATGAACCAATGAGTGTAAAGTTAAGATGTGGACATATGTTGGGTAATAGTTGTGCTTATAGAGACTGTTATGTCTTAATGACTAGGAAATGCCTATATTGTGATGAAGAAAATTGGTACCAAAATTTGCGTAAGTCAATGTTAAATAATAATTACATAATTGAAATAAGCAAAAATACAAACATTACATATTTGTCAATAATTAATCAAATTAAAATGATATGTATTTTCTTTTCAATAAACAGTTAAAAATCAAAGAATAATTTTACTTTTGTTTATTTTATGATTATATTGTTGCCTTAAGCTTAAAGAATAATTAGTACCATTACTCAGTTAACGCCATATGTGATCAGGCTAGGACGTCTTACTCTAATTTGTTATAATACATACACCACTCATTATTCAGTAGTATATATGTTATTACCTATTAGTCATCAAATTAAAAATATTATTCATGTTAATACTTTAAACTATTCCAAGAAATATGTCTAAAAATACATTGATATAAATCTACTGTAATAATTATAAGAAATTCTTTAGTTGTGACAAATTATCTATTTTAAGTAAAATAATATGTAATAAATAACACAAATTGAGTAATAAACAGATAATAGTAAAAGGTCGTGACACTTCTTGCATAGATAGATGAATTAAATTTAATATAAAAGGGCATAAAAACTGTCAATCTCTCTCACTACCACTTCACCTTATGAACTTTTAACGAATGCAAGAAGTGGCTTGACAAAATACGATTTTACATAGAAAATTGAAGTATATTCATTTTTTCAACATTAGTCCTGAAATCATTAAGGTAAATTCATATTCAAAGTAAATATAATGAGTACATAAATTAAGTAGGAAACCAGAAAAAGTAAAGTGATCTCTAGAATAAAATATTGTCTAAATAAATAAAGAGAATCAATAACGTTTGTACGAAGTTAGCCAGCCTAGTCTAATCTTTGAGTGGGTTAACTGTGTAGTCAATACTAATAAAGACTCTCTTGCGAAGATAGAGAACCCACTTGTGGTTCCTATACTACTCGAGGTTTTTATTGACTCGACTCACAGTCAGCACAAGCCTAGATAACTACTGGTACGAGTGGCGTTGTTGATGATCTATGTGTGATAATTAATCACAATAATTTCTATTTAAAATTATTATTATATTAATAAATTTTCAAACATCACTTTGTTTTTCTATATTTTACATCTTCTCATATACCCTCGTACTCATATCCCGAGAGAAAAATTATATTGTATCATTTTCATTATTCAATAAATATTATAGTAACTCAATTATTCTCATGCTCATATAATACCAACAAATATAAATAATTTTAATAAATTATCCTTTAATTACTGAAATAATATAATCTTCTTAATAATTTTCTCCTTTTATTTTGAGTTACTATAAATTTTGACCCTGATTGATGTTTTAATTTGAAATATGAACATAAATTATAAGACATTATAATACTTGTGATGATTTTTCATTGAAAATCTTTAAAATATTTTTTTTAGGTGAACCCAAAATTTCTTTAAGTAAGAGCATTCATGTTATATAAATAATTTTTAACTCGTAAAGTAAATTTCTCTTTATATTTGTTTTTATTATCTCCTACTTTTGTGAAATTTTAACAGCATTAGAAATAATTAAATGATTCAAACTATAAAATCATTTTATAGTTGAGATGAAAAAGTGATTAATTATTCGATTAATGAGTCTTTATGGAATTATTTATGTTGGATACTTATCTACCAAATGGAATTTTGTGATAATTTTAAGTTAATGTGATAATTAATATTTAAAAAATAATTTAAATTGTACTGCACCACAGATTGTACGAGAGAGAGAGCGACGATATAACGTAGCTCGTCCTTTATTAACATATATCCTACAATTGACATGCGTTCTGTATGTGTATTTCTGATTCGCTCGCCGAAGTAAATTGTGCCAAATCAGTTTCCACTTAATGGTTCTATGTTATTATTTAGTCCATAGTCTTTATAAAGTTAACAGCCTTAGAGATTCACACGTACTGTTGTATGGGTTACAGTTAAATCACCTAGCGATCCACTTGTCTCCTTGTTCAATAGCTAAATCGTCTTGCGGTTTGCCAGCATCTTTATGCATATAGTTAAATAACCTTGTGATTTGTCTATACCCTAATGTGTATAGTGTCCTTCGTACTGTATTATTCGGCGAAAATATTGTGCATTAGAGAGAATTTGTAAATGTAAGTGTGTTCGCCAATTCATATATGCATGTTTATCATTCTTGAGACCAACCCTTTTATTGTGTATTGTTACAACTGATAGTCCTTAATAGTCAATCAGTATTTAATTATTAAAATATTTAAATTATTATCCCCATTAATAAAGTTTATATCTTAAAATAACATTAAAAATTAACAGATAACTTGGTTATTTTAAGTCAGCTTATTGAAGAGAGCATAAGTTGTACGATGGAAGTTAATATGGAATAAATCTAAGGTTATTTTGAGGTACATTAAAGTTAAGTAAATTAAGAATTCAGATTCAAGATTCAGAGTTATGGATTTGACAGCTTAAAGCCTTAAAAATAAATAATAACTAATTTTTTAGAATAAAAATAATAATATTGCGCTATTAGAGGTTAAGTTCATATATACAAATATGGGTTATTAATATAATTATTTAAATTAGTTTTTCAAACAATTAAAAACTTATTTGAAGAACTACATATAAAAAAACTAAGGTATTTGTTAATACTTTCTGGTTTGTTATTTTATAACAGTTAAACTTTTTAGCAAATATGAATGATCTTTATTTTTACCACAAGCTTTGTGGTAGAAATAAAGACTATATTTGATTAATCCACTTTCTTCACAAAGTGAAATATAGAGGAATGAAAAAAGAAACAATTTTTGTTCTAGTTGAACCTGATACCAAATTAAGTAAGAGTGTATATTATTAAATATCTTAATTAGAGTACAAAATTCTTGAAAAACTAAAAATTAGTGCCAAATATTTAGCTAAACCGTTTCAACATAATTCATTCAACAACTTCAAAAAAAATATAATTTTCGAGAATATTTATTTTTAGTGATATCTACATCCGTTTAAATAACCCACTTAATTGTTACAAAATAAAAAAAATTACTAAAATTTATTTTTTTTTCAAATATAATTCTTTATTTAACATTTAATTATACAGAAATGGTTTGAAAGAGCTATTTTAACTTAATATTTCATATATTTGAATCGAAACGTTTTTTATGATAATAATAGTGTAATTCACTGTTAGATATCATGTATACTTGTTCCTTCTGCGTGTTTTTATTTTTAATTATTATAACCTTCAAAAAATTTAATAAACATTATAAAAATAAATATTTTGTAACTTTTTTGTGTGTAAATACTTTAGTAAAAGAGTTGACCCCTAAATCCTACTTCTAATATAAATATTAGAATAAATAAGTAGTAACTGTTTTTATTATTCAGCTAAAGCCAAAATATGTATGTGTAAATCTGAACGTGTCACACATGTCTTAAAACCTTGTAAACATCGTATTGGAACAATTTGTTCAACCTTTGTAGAACACAAATTATTTTATTGTCCCCATTGTTTTAAAAGAATTGAGAATGTCAAACCTATAGGTATATATGCTTCTATACTTATTAAAATAAAAAAAATATATACATTAATTTCTATTTTAACATGTAGATTCTTACTGTAGATTTCACAAGTTTTATAACATATCTTATACAGTACTTCATTCTTCGTAAAAAAATAAACAAAAGTACTTCTTAAAGCGGAAAATATTTAAAATATTGCTTAACTATTACATACTTTTTTCATTTTTAACTTAAAATGTTCACATTAAATCAAAATATTTCTAGATATGATCATAAGTCTGTATAAATGTATCTATATCTAAACAATTTCCTCAATATAAATAACTTTATTTCAATGTAATCTATAAAAAGTGTTGATCGTAATTCTAATAAAATAATAGTAAGAATAGTAAAAATAAATACACAAACAAAATAACCAACATTTTTTTTTTAAATTTTATATTTAGGGATTATACACTAATTTGAATATTATATTTTAGATGAGTTTAAAAAAGATGAAAAAAATGAAAGGATAAGAATTCTAAAAAAGTTTTTATGTATGGCACAAGAAGAAATAATCGAGTGATTTTCTAAATATTTTGTTGGATTTTTATCGTGTATTTGAGGAATATTGACAATGACTAATTATACTAATAATTTCTTAATTAAAAATTTTAATTTAAGTAACACTAATTGTCCATTTATATTAAAATTATTTTAGTTATAAGTATTTAACTATGTATAACATTTCAACTTTTAAAATAAAACTTTTTACTAAATTTCATAATAATTCTTTAATAATTGTTAATTTTTTTTTTCATTTGTACATTAATAATATTATTAGTTTTGAAATTAAATACTTATACAGTGGTAATGATCAGGTAGTGAGTGCACGCAAAACCATTGGGTAATTACTACGCTCGGTCTTATAGAAAAAAACCCATAATGCTTTTAATGTGCTATATGATGAGTATAGTTTTATGTTGTATTTTTTCATAAGATTTGAAAATTTTGAGTTATAAAATTCTTTACCCAAATCGCTCTGTACGTGAACAACATTACGTTTTGACAGTATAGGTTCTATTGCTTTCACTATATCAGCACCTGTTTTTGATTTTAGGGTTACTGCCCATGAATATTTTGTAAAATAATCAATTACAAACAAAATATATTTATAGCTTTTATTCTGTCTATGATATGGTATAAATTCAGCTAAATCGATCTGAAATAAATCGTCACGAATTTTAAGTACAACACTACGTCTATCGTAATGCATTCGTCTAGGTCTATGTAGTTCTTCCGCAATTTGTATTTTAAACATTTGGTATTTTTTTAATTATGCCAGCCTCGTACAATTCTTCATAAATTGAAATAATTTCATTACCATGTNAATTCTTCATAAATTGATATAATTTCATTACCATGTGCATTATTGCCTGCTGCCTGCGAAGCCAATAGTAATCTAAGACGGTCGCAGAGCTCGTCTGCGTTATTCCAATATTTATAGTTATTCGATGTATTCAATGACAGCTCAAGACCTCTGCCCTCGACAAACAATTTACTTATAACTTCTTTATACTTGTAGCCATTTGTTATCTTAATTCTTAATTTATTTGTTGTTAAGTGCGCAGAAGTATGAACTAGAATGTCTCTATAGACATCCAAGTCATTTTTACTGTATGCGTTAGGCCTTTTGAAAATATTAACTGTATTAGACCGGGGGTTAATTGATATTTATTATTTTCTATGATCAGCTGAGCTGTTTTATAATTAAACTGAACAACTTTATCAACAAATTTTATTAAAACCCCGTGTTTTTTCGGTGCATACGCTTTGTCACGATAAGCTAGCCAAGCCTCAACCGAGTCCATCATAGAAAATATTTGTTTTTCAGAATATCCACTAGAATTAGTGTATTCAACATTATAGCTTGATTATGCAGCTCAGTTACTATAGAATTATTTTCATCGTTTTTATAATTGTTAATATCATGATTTTGTTCATATTTTAAATACTCGTTATTATTATCAAATTCATTAGTAAAATTTGAAATTTGCCATGTTTTCTCTTTTTGAAGTGTTGTTAACTCGTTTAAAGGTTCAATAATAGGTTTTAATGTACGTTTCATGTAAACCTCATTAGCAACATCATCGTTTTGCAATGATTGGAATTTTCGTTTAATATTTTGCTTGGCCTCGGCTAATTGTCTCAATATTTCGTTATTAGATTCTCCGTCCATTGTTAATCGATTACTGACAAAATCCCGTTATTACACGACATTATATTATTGCGAAAGTATCGAAACATTTCCGATACCTGCCTTCATTTCGCGGATGATCTTTGCTAATTACTACAAAACTAAATTTACTATCGTTTCAACATGAATGACAAAATTCACGAAACTGGTTAAGTGTCATGTCCCCTGAACAATTATTAAAATATATATGCCGTATATTGGTTTCGTCTTGTTTGAATAAAATAAGCATATTAGCGTTATCCCGTATCAATTGTTTACCTACATAGCTAAAAGATTGTGTTAAATAAAATATGTCAATGTTATTATGTCTGCCTCGAGTAAAATAGGTTCTTATAATTTCTTGAGATTCGGTTATTACGTCGTCGAATATAAAAACTGAATTTGGCAAGGCGTCCTCAGGGCTAATTACAGTGTCGTTTTCATGAAACATGAATATTTGCATTCCTGGTACACTTTCTATAGTATCCTTAAGCATTTGATATTTTGGCTGGTCTAGAGTTTTTGAATATATGTAAATATTTTTGAATTTTACACCATTTTCAGCGACTAGTAAAGAAAATAAAACATTAGTTTTACCACAGCCCGACGACTCNGAAAATAAAACATTAGTTTTACCACAGCCCGACGGTCCCGCAATAATCGCTCTAATAGAGTTTGGAAATAAAGTGCCGTGTCGGGGAGGTTTATTGTCATTATTTTCAGTATCTGCGTTTATCACGGGGAGTTTAACACTTTGCTGTATAAACTTCATGTTTTCCACTATAAATAGTTTATCAGGACAGTAAACTGATCAAATGATGTCTCGTCACGGTCGCAACAAGTTTAAAAGTGGTGTAGGTCTATTCAATACGCTCTTAGATAAATTGCCTATAGAATTATACTAATTAAAGTAAAATTCTAACGTGTAACCACTACCTTTACCTAAATATTCTTCTTGTTTTAGTAACAGTTTAGTGAAATCCTCATTCAGAAACTCGTCAATAGGACTTGATATGAACAAACTTCGTGATATAGTTTTAAAAGATCTATTTTCTACAGATTCAGCTTTATTCGGAATAACATATGTAGACTCTAGTTTTAAACTGTACTTAATAGGACTATCGGTTAAGAGACGTTTAAGCAAAGCAATTAACTCAGGCCGTGCTTCCTCCAAAAACACTCCATAATTAAGAATACGTTTTAAATTCTTTTTGTAAAATGTCTTGTGTAACCCCCCAAACGCCTGTTGTATTAAACTAAAACTACTAGTATTTATATTGTTTATTCTAAATTTCTTTGTATGTTTTTCCTTAGATTCTGCTTGTAAACAAAGGTTATCTGCTTCATTATCATCCCAACAATCGTCAAACAGGTGTTTTCATTTTTCACCTGGTAAATAATTGGAATTTCTTAGATAATATATTTTGTATAACATTAACTACGTGTAAATAATAATATTTGAAATTTTTTTTTTTTTTTGAAAAAATTGTGCATAATGTTTGAGCAACTAGTAGTATTTACTACACTTAATAATAATAAAATAATATATTAAAAAAAAAAAATTAGCTTTTAAGTTATAAATGTTTTTATAAAATTTCTTAAAATTATGAAAAATCGGTCATGAAGTTTAGACGAATTGTAATATTTATTGTGCTTAATAATAATAATAAAGGAATTTTTCTTACCTTTATTTACATAAGTCGAAGTCGATGGTTTACAATCAGGTATAGAAACACTTTGCAACGGTTTATTAATATTAAGGTTTACGTCGTTTCTTTTAGTTAAATTTAATTGTAATTAATTTAATTGGGTTTCATCTATAAAGTGTAATTATATTAACACAAAATATTGCTTAATTAAATTTTATATTTAATAATATCTTGAAAAATGACTTACCATGTAACAGTTTCTGGTGTCTTATTAAAACGCTCTTTCTTGTAAATTTTTTTGCACAAGCATTACAACTAAACTGCACATCACTATGAATTTTTTTATGTTGATTAAGGTTACTTACAGTTGAAAATATTTTACTACAAGTATTACATTGATTCATTTTTAAAGATTTTGGAAAAATACACAAAATAGCGAATACAAATTGCAGTAAAATGTAGAATATTTAAAATGTATTAACTGATTCAAGTACAGCTAATAACAAATGTTAACTAAACGAGTTACGTAACAGGAATGACACTTGTACACAATTTAAATGTCTTATCGACAAATTCTTACCTATAAATTTTTATCCCTTTCCCTGTCCTTTTAGACTCTGAAAGGTTACAAATATATAAAAAATCAAACTAATTGGCCGCAACGAATAATTTGTAACTTTCATGGCGTTTTACAAAATTATAAGAAAAGGGTCGCCAACCTACTGGGCGAGACAGTGTATTGTCGGACCACAGTAGGATTTAAAAAAAATTAACTTTTGTATATTAAAACAATTAGAAAAAAATATATAATTAATAAATATTAAAGTTGATGTCCGTTGAGTCGTTGATAGTAGATGTACACCAAAACCTCGTGACAGTTGTCATACAACCATATAGATCAGGGATGACCTTATACAAGGCCGTTGCCCTTACCTTATAAACTAAGGGGAGATGATTTTTGAAAGGAAAAAAATACACGAGTCCATTGAAGATGGAACACGCAAAAAAAAAGAAAAATATGATGGTTAAGTTAAATTAAGGGGACTTTATTAAGTAAAACAAAAAAAACAAAAAAAAATTAAATTACTACGAGGCAAAAAAACCGAATGGTCAAAAAAACCTCAACTACAAATTAAAGGGGACAAAGAAAGAGAAAAAAAAACAGATATTAATAAAAAAAATACTAGTTACACCTACACTTTTATTGTTAGAGAATACGATGAACGTCTTCGGGTATCCGCCGGCTATTAATCGCAGCATTGCCGCTAAGCACGGAGGGTATACGTCCCAAGTAAGCGACTGGTTTTAAGCAGTTAGACTTAGCTTGCAAGACGTTGGGACACCCCGGAATAAAATGCACTACGTCACCACATTGTACCAATAATATATACATATCATCCATAAAATATAATATAAAACCTAAAAAAAAAATCACAAAAAAATATGGATATAACATGACAGGTGGTCTTGTACACGCCTGCCATGTTGCGGGACCTAAATAAAAAAAATAGGGGCACTTACACTAAAAAAAACTATATAAAAAAAATTCGCCACACGTGCTTATGGCACGGCGCACTAAAAAAAAAAATTCTGGCTCAAAAACATTAAAACAAATATATACATTACCAGCCCCAAAGGGCTAACGAATATGGAGACAGGTTTAGCCGACGCCAATATAAAAAATACTAGTATTTTTCGTTCATTATTGTTTTAAGATTATTTTAAAAAACCCAGCACAGTGGAGTGGCGGCACAGTGGGGTCGTGGCATAGTTGGGTCCAGTATAGATGATATCTGACAGTGATTAAAATCACTATCATAAAAAACGCTTCGATGCAAATCTGTTGATAGTGTTTAATTAAAAAAAAAAAATTTGTTAAAATAGCATATTTTTGAATATGGTAGCCATTTGCGCATAGAAGATAGGTCGTCGGGACAAATTTTTTTTTTTCATTTTATAGTACATAAAATAAGCTTTAATTTGATATATGTTTAAAGGACGCAGTATTTCCGGAACATTTTCAAAAATTAAGTTGAAAAAGTTAATTTTCGTAAAAAAAGTTGCTATTTTAAATCCCCCCAATGAGCAGGTTAGATGATAGATTTTCAAAAAAATGATATCAAATGAAAGGTAAATATCGAAGGTTTTAGTATAAAAAAAAAATATGTTGATTTGTTTATTTTTGAAAAAGTTATGGAAGTTTTAAGAAAAAAAAGTGAAAAAATTTTGAAAATTAGCGATTTTTAAATTTGTAATTTTTTTTAATTTTTCCTCCATTTGCAGGGAACGAGGGAATTTTTTTCAATTTTTAAGGGTAATGTCTTCTATTAGATACGATTTGTGTTCTTTTGACGTATTTTCGAAAGAAATCGGTCCAGTGAGAGCTGAGAAAAAGTGGCAACAGACATAAAAAAAAAAACATCATAGTAAAATTAATACCTTCTCCGCTTCGCATCGAAGCTAAA